GGAGGCGCATCGCCGGGAAGCAAAGCAAAGCCACACGAACACGTCAGCACAGCCTCCCCCCGCTGGGTGGAAGGAGGGGGAGTTGGGGGGGGGCTTCCCTACACGGGTGGGCGGAGTTTGCGAAGGCTCCACCTTCTTCTTTCGGAAAGACAAATCGAGATGGAGGAGGAAGTCTCGGAAAATCTACTGTCGAGTTTCCTGTGGGATGCCCAGCGCCGGCTGTGAGGAGCGTTGGGCGGTCTTAAGGGAGTGTCCTTCCAATCGCGTTGCGCGGGGAGGGTGGGAGGGTGGGAGGCAGAGACGGAGGGAGGCTTAGTTCGTGACCCGCTTAAGCCGCACGTGCCCTCTGGAAGGCAAATATTTGCCCAAGGCGTAAGGGACGTGGTGACTGAGCTTGTGGACCAAAAAGGTCGGCAATTTGGCGGTTCGAATCCCTAGCCATGTAACGGAGTGAGCTCCCGTTACTTGTCCCAACTTCTGCCAACCTAGCAGTTCGAAAGCAGGTAAAAACGCAAGTTGAAAAATAGGAACCATTTTGGTGGGAAGGTAACAGCGTTTGGCGTTTAGCCATGCCGGCCACATGACCACGGAGACATCTTAGGACAGTGCTAGCTCTTCGACTTTGAAACGGAGATGAACACTGCCCCCTAGTGTCGGGAACGACTAGCTCATATGTGCGAGGGGAACCTTTACCTTTATGCCCAACACGTAGCAGCCATAGTGTGAGAATCATATTCCATAGGTTTCTATATTGCCTTACCCCCGTAAAATAGAAGGGGGGATGTGTGGTCCACCAACTTATGTGTGACACCTGTCACCATCCCTATTTTATTTTGATCTATTTTAGATCGTTGGATTTATTGGCTCTGGGGTGTTTTCCCTTAAGAGGAAACGGGCTCTCCTTCACCAAGTGTGTTCAGTTCATTTATTTTACTACAGGAGATCTTTGACTTACTACAGTTCGTTTAGTGACTGTTCCAAGTTATAACAGCACTGAAAAAAATGACCCATGACCAGTTTTCACATGACCATTGCAGCAGCTGCATGGTCATGTTATGATCAAAATTCAGACACTTGGCAATTGACTCATATTTATGACCGTTGCAGTGAGGGTGGGGGTGTTGTCACATGATCCCCTTTTGCAACTTCCTGACAAGCAAAGTCAATGAGGAAGCCAGATTCACTTAACAGTTTGACTAATTTAACTACAGTGATTCACTTAACAACTGTGGCAAGAATGATTGTAAAATGGGGCAAACTCATTTACATTTTGGCCACAATTGTGGTCGTAAGTCGAGGACTACTTGTAGAGGGCTTGAATTTGAACAACCTAGGTTGGAAATGGAGATGAGCACTGCCCCCTAGAGTCTGATACAACTGGACAGGAGAAACCTTTACTTTTACCCGTTTAATTTGTATTCCTGCATAAGCCAGGATAGGACATGGCCCAAGTTACTCCTTGAACGTTTTAATTCTAGGAAAGTAGTAACATCCAATAAGCCAGTGTTTTTCAAATAGTCATTCCTTCACAGCCCAACTCACCTCACAGGGTTTTTGTGGGGAAAAACAGTAGGAAGAATATTGGTATGTTTGCCTCTTGAGTGGGGAAAAAAGGGCAGGATAAAAAAAATAGACAAGATTTTCAGATCCCAGGATTCCCCAATAGAATGTACCTGGGATTTGAAATCCACACATCTTAAAGCTGCCAAATTTGAAAAGCACTGTGCAGTAGCTTTCTCAGCCCTCCTTCATGCAGTGTGGATAAACCTGTGTCTCCAAATGTTTTAGCCAAGGTTGGTGGAAGTAGCTGTCGGGATGGGATGGGATGAGGTGTCTGTATGCAATAGATATATGCCAGTTAAAGGCACAGAGGCAGGTGTAAAATAGGCAAATGGATGAAAAGGATATGAAAGCAAATGGATGAAATAGGAAAGCCTCTGCTCTGGGAAGGCAGGAAACCCATCTTGTCAAGAGTCCAGTAGCACAGGCCTTGCTCACATCTTTTGTTTTATGCAATTATGTAAAGAGGCCTGGTAACCTCTAGTTAAAATTGCTGTAATTCTTTCTGAGTGGAGATATTTGAAGCTAATGTGAAAACTCTTGGTTAGTACAAACTGTAATCACTAGAAGACTTTAGCCACAACTAGTCAGAGTATATTGCATACCCTTGGACTTGGTTTTATTTTGAAGCAATTTATTTTATTGTTACCCAGAGATCTACAGAGTAAGAGTTGAAATCATCTTCAGATACTTTATCCTAACAGGAAAATGTCCAGTTCACTCCTCTGGGGCCTCCTATCTTTGTGCCCCGAGCCAAACTGAGATAGTGATCCAAGTATCAGTAAGTTTAAAAAAAGTAATTTTTGCTCAGAACAGCATCATAACCAGCTCTCTTAGTATGTCTAATCATCTTCTGAAAGAAAGGGAGCATGATTTACTTCCATGAGAATTAGTCATTCATAAATTGATTATATACTGTAACTTTGAATATGAATAAAAATAACTATTCTGAATTACTCTGCTATTACGGTAGTTGCAGGAACTGCTGTTATGAAAAAGACATCCCTGTGACTGAAGAGGAAAAACGGCTTCTCCTAAAATGGTTCCTCATGTTTGCATGCAGTACTTTTGTTTTGAAGTATAATAGAAAATTAAATTGACCTACGTGAAGTTGCTGTCCATACTTTTTCATCATGGGACATAATGATATTTCATTTCTTGCAAAGTTACAGGTTTCAACATTTTCTTTTGATTTAAAACAAAACAATGTTTGCATAGGGCAATTGCTAATTGTCATTTGATGTTATAAATATTCACACATACCCTCAATTTAAGGAATATTTTTAACAGGGTATTCTTGAAGATGGCCGCGTTATTGATACCTCACTCTCCCGTGATCCACTGCAAGTGGAATTGGGCAAAAGACAAGTCATCCCAGGTAGACCTCTGTTCTTTATCATAAAATGCTTAGTTTAACTGAGAAACACACCAAGGAAAGCAGTAGGGAGAAAAAAAATCTGTGTCCACAAACTTTGGTCAAAGAAACATACTTGTTTCTTCACTAAATAAGTATTTCCTCACTGTGCCACTGTTCCTGTTTTACAGTTGCCACAAAAGTAGAGTTTGAGACTCTTCTCACTTGTATGTGGCTATGGCACAAACATGTTCAACTTTTTTCCTGCTGTGTCCTCATGAAATTTGACTTCATCATTTGACCCCAAATTATATCTGAGAACTTTCAGTCATCTTTAGCTTGTACCATTGCTGAAGTGGTGGTTTCCTCCCTTATCTTCCCAACACAGTGTTTGCTCTGCACAATCTGACATGCTTTACTGATTGTTGAAGTGGTGCACTCATTGATTTTTGGACATGGGATTAGCCCAAATTATCTTGTTAATGCAGATATGTTCCTTCCCTTCAGCACGCTCATGATGGCAGTATGGAGCTGCATGGCGAAGTGGAGAGAGGGAGAAGACTCTGTTGTTTCCAACCCTTTTAAATATTGTTCAGGCTTTTAGACACGGGGTTAACACTCTTTTGGAATATCAAAAGGAATGGAGCCTGACTGTAGCTTAAGTCTTCCATTGAACGCAAAATACTTGTACTAAAACAGAGCAAGATTTGACAAATGGCTAAATTTCCTGGTCTAGCCAGCAGGCAAAACTCATCTCCTCCCCAACTCCATCCAAATGTTATGCTGATAATGGATGCTTTCCTGATGACTGCTGATGTTTGGTAGGAAAGACTTGGAAATAAAGCCAAGGGTATCCACCAGTTCTTTTTCCTTAAATTGTTCTGTATGGCTTGAGTTAGGACAGCAGCATTTGCTGACATCTTGCCTGTGGCAGGATAGAGGCTGACAAGGAGTTAACACATATTTCACTGGTACCTTTTTTATGATACCTCAAGAATTGATGGAAACCACTTGGCCGTGAAGAAGACCTAAACTCAACATGCTTCCAACTGTAGAAGGATAGATTTTAGTTGAAGATTAAAACAAATCTTTAGTGATAAAAGCATTAGATCCTGCAACCTAGCATAGTGCTTTCTGTTAGAAGACTTCCAGCACTAACTACAGTAGTCATCTGTGGGATTGTGTAAGATTGTGACTGGCATGCTCTATTATATATGCCATTCTTTTTGTCCTAGGCTCCCAAGTTTCTTTCCTGCCTGTTTATTATTTTTTTGGTTTGATAGATTAATATCAACTTGTGTTCTGGCAACCAAACAGAGATTTATCATGAACAGCTCCTTTTATAAAAGATCTGAATGTTCTAGGGTGAGTGGGGGACAGAAAGGCTTCTAATTAAGTTCTTTTTTCCTCCCAATTCAGGTTTAGAACAGGGTCTGCTGAATATGTGTGTTGGGTAAGTAACTCACAGTAAGTTACTGGAAACCTTCATAGGTAGTTGCTATACTCCGGTCAAGCCTGTGGCCTTCTTTGTTTTGAATTCTGTTCATTCTCTGTGAAAAGGCAAGGTAGGCTGCAGTTTCCAAGCGACACAAAAAGTACTGTCTGCATTCAGATATATTTTTCTTATTTGCTTATTCAGACCACCATGAAAAAAACCCTGGCCCTTTAAATATAATGCTGCAGTTGCTAGCATGCCTTACTAGAGATTGTATTGTTAGAAGTTATGGGACAGTGATGGGCAACCTTTTTGGCGTGGTGTGTCAAAAATCGGCAAAAAATCGAGCATAACTCGCGTTGTGTGTCACTTCGACAAAAACATAATTTTGCGCAATTTATAGTTTAAACTACAAAAATGTAGGGGTTAACTAGCCTAACAAGCTAACACAACCTCCCCCTCACTTATCTCAGTTATTGTGGGCA